TTTTTTTTTTTTTTAAGGAGTTATTATTAGTCTTGACCGCTAGTTTGATACCATCTCCATTTTAGGTGACCTGTTTCACCAGCAACCCTGTTACTCTCCATGACTAACTGTAAGTGCTTATAATGGAATAAATTGCTTTTCTACATAACCCCATGCTGATGGGTTTTATTTAGAATGTAACACCATCAAATACAAATCTATTGCTTTTAGAACAGTTGTTCTGATGAGTTATTTTCTATGGTCTCTGATTATCAAGAATAAATTAAACAGACCCAGAGTTGTAGAAAAGAGCTTTACTCTTTCCAGGGAAAGTTTAACACAGAAAACACAGCCAGGAGAGCACAGACTAGTCCGATAAAGTGGCAATTTTTTAAAAAAGTTAGTCCCTAGAGAACTACATAGGCTTTCAAATGTCAAAGGCAGTATGGTATAGAGAATTTAAGGCAAAATTTACATGTGGAAAAGGTTCTTGAGCCTTTTTTCATAGAGATTGACGACTCTTTATGTTTTTCACTGGGGCATGTACTTAAGAGGATAAAACAATAGGCTCTGAAAGCCAGTATGTATCATCACGTGCCATAACCAGATTAAATGATTGGTTCTTTCTAGTCTTTCAGTTTTTGTTTTGAGTAGACCATTAATAACCAAAAATCACATTAGATCATTTGATAAAATCTGAATACACTGGTTTTAAACTGTTACATTCGAATCTGAATTGGTTCCCTCTTTTCAAAGAGTAAACTGAGTCTGCATAATCCTTAAAAAAGAAGTAAACTTTGTTGGAGGATTCATTTAAAATGTAACACTCATGGCACAAAAGAATTCAAATTGTAAACCCACATAAGAAAGGTTGGCTGTCTTTTTGTCCCCCAAAATGTTTTTGGTTTGGGCCAACAAAGGCAAGATACATTCTTCACAATACTGCAAGATGTGTCCATACATTCATGCTCTACTTAGCCTGCATGTGAGGGTTGCTGCTGGAAGATAGGCACTTTTTTCCATTCCTCAGTGCATTCAGGTCCGTACCAGTGGCCTGTGAAATAGAATCCAGCTCAGAAAAATTGGGTGATGTTTTTCCAAAAAGCCAACGACAGAATCACTTTAGCCAGTATTTGCAGTGTTCAAAAGGTGAATTGCTTGCCAGGTTCTGGCATTCCTTGTTGGTTTGGTAAAAGTCCAAAGTGTACTTGGTAATGAATTCTTTACTAGGAAGTTTTTTTGGTAGTTTCTGTGTTGCAAATTTGGCCATACATTTCTAAACAGCCCCTGTAAGGTTGAGAGGGGGGGAAAAAAGTGAGTTTATGCTTTCTTTAACTTGAAATAATACAAAAGATAATTTATGTAATAGTGAATTTTCAAGTTTAAATGGAACAGGCTATTTTGAGAGGGATTGCTGCATTGTGAGTTACATAGGATCAGGGGTGACATTCCCCCTAGCAAACACTGGATGCTTTCTATTTGCAGAATCCAACAAATGATTGCCTATTTGATGGTGATGAGAGGACTTAAAATTTTTCTGTGCAACAGGCCAAGGGTAAGCTCAGCAGCACAGTGTCTACCTGGCAAGCGCAAGGTCCTGAGTTCAATTCCTGGTATCAAATAAATAAAAAAATTTTCCTCATAGGTTAACTTCACAGTTATTAAATTGCTTGAGATTGGGCTGGAGAGATGGCTCGGTGGTCTAAAGCACCTACTTAGAACAAGCTTAGCAAAAGCATCAGGGACCGCAGTTCAATCCCCCAGCGCCACATGCCAGCCAGCCCTGCCCTGTAGAGTCCTTGCTTAGCATGTGTGTCTCTAGAATCAAGCATTTTGAGATTTGGAATATATGGCTAGGGCAGGTTTGCCATTTAGGATTTGTTT